CTCTCTCTCTCTCTCTCTCTCTCAGGAGTACTGGGGGTTGAACACAAGGTCTTCACACTGAGGTACAACCCCAGCCCCTTTTTGAGACATAGTCTTGCTAAGTCACGAAATTGTCCAGACTAAACTCAAAGGAGATTCTCCTGCCTCAGTCTCCCAGAACGCTGGGATTACAGGCCTGAGCCACCATACCCAGCTCACACTTCTTTTTCCTTAAATAAAAGTTATTAAAAATTGAATGGTTTATACAAAAATTTTCCTTTTAATATTTTTTAATGTTTTAAAAATGTATTAGTAAGGGCCGGAGATTTAGCTCAGTGGAACGGCACCTGCCTCTCAAGCGCAAGGTCCTGAATTCGATCCCTGGTATCACACATACACAAAAATGTATTAGCATATGTTTGAGATACATAAATACATTTATTGTGGGGAATTGGTACGTATGCATATCACACTACTTTCTCTTTTTAATTTTTATTTTTATTAGTATGTGTTTGTAGCACATAATGGTCATGTTCCTCATGGTGAATTGGTATGTGTACGTAGTACATTTTCAGTTAGTTTTTCATCCCTTTCCCTTCGTCTCCCTCCCCCCTCCATCTCTATTTGAAGATCTATCTCCTCACTTCCTGTGATTTATCTTTTATTTTGATCTTTACTTGTATTTTGGGTTTCTCATAAAAGAGAAACAATGACGGCCGGGGATTTAGCTCAGTGGTTTCACCGCCTGCTGCGCAAGCGCAAGGACCCGAGTTTGATCCCTGGTACCAAACAAAGAAAAGAGAGAAACAATGAAATATTTAACCTTGTGTATTTGCTTTATTTCACCTAACATCATGTTCTCAAGATGCATCCATTTTCCCATAAATGATTCAAGTGTATCCTTCTTTATGGCAAAGTAGTACTCCATTGTGAATAAATATCACATTTTCTTCATCCATTCATCAATTGATGGAGATATAGGCCTGCTTCCAAGATTTAGCTATTATGAGTTGTGCTGCTATAAACATGGGTATGAATGTATACCTGTAATATGATGTCTGTAACTCTTTTGGGGAGACACCTAGAAGAGGAATAGCTGGATCAAAGGGAAATTCTAGTTTAATAGTATTTATTTATTTATTTATTTTTGGTTTTAGTTTTTTGAGGAATCTCTATACTGATTTCCATAGTGGTTGTACTAGTGTACATTCTTACCAATAATTTTCTCCACAGCTTCACCAGCATTTGTTATTATTTGATTTCTTTTTTTTAGGTAATAATTTATTTTTTATTCTTTAAGTTTATTGGTACATTTTAGATATACAATATGATGACATTCATCATTGGGAGTTTGTACCTTTACATGATATATCTTGGTTCTTAACTTTTTCCCCATTCCCCTTCCTTCCTTCCCTTCAACCCCTCCACCCCTCTGTTTACAAACACTTTGTATCCATTTTTTTCCTTTTCTCATATTTGTTCCTTTCCCTTCTATCCTTTCCTTACCCCTCCCACTCCCCCTTCCACTTTGAACCTTTTCTTCCTAATTCACATTATCTATTATACGTTTTGATCCTTATTTACACTTTCAGTTTCTCACACTAGAGAAACTATTCAGTATTTACACGTGTGTCCTATTTATTTTACTTAAGAGTATGGCCTTAATGTGCATCCATTTAGCTACAAATGTTTCTAGTTTCTCATTCTTTACGGCTGAGTAGATTATTTGATTTCTTGATGATGGCCATCCTTTCTGGAGTAAGATGGAGTCTGTGTTGTTTTAATTGGCATTTCACGTATTTGTTGGCCATTTGTATTTCTTCTTCTGGGAAGTGTCTACTAATATCAGTTGCCCATTTTTTGATTAGGTCTTTTATTTGGGGGGGTCTGATTTCTTTTGAGTTCTTTACTCTTTCTGAGGTATAGCTGGCAAAATTTTTTTCCCATTCTGTAGGTTGTCTCTTCACTCTGATGGTTGCTTCCCTTGCTGTGCAGAAGCTATTAAATTTGATATGATCCCATTTGTTGATTCTTGATGTTGTTTCTTGTGCACACTTCCTTCTTAAACAGGCTCCCTGTAAACACCTACTGAGTCAGGAATGAAGGACACAGAAGCCAGTGAGCTGACAGAACAGATGACAGGAGGTGCTGGTACAGGTCCCAGGTGCTGTGGTGAAGTCGCCAGGCAGACTTGGGATGTAGCTGGCTTCACCATCCTGTCCCTCCATGACCTTTGCCCTGCCTCTTCGTCCCCTAAAACCTGAGTTTCTCATGTGTGAAATGAGGACAATGACATTATCTTCTAAAGTTGTTGAGATGCTGAAATGAGTGGAAGTCAAACTACAGTGAAAGGCTGGGTACAGAGTAAGAGCTCAAAAATAAAACTGTGGGCCAGGGATTTTAGCTCAATGGTTCTGCTGCCTGTTCCTCAAGCACAAGGTCCTGGGTTCAGTCCCCGGTACCAATAAATAATAAATAAATAAATAAATAAATAAATAAATAGCTTTTACTCCACTGCAAGACAAGGAAGAGAGAGAACTTTGTCTTGGAAATCTTGTCTCCACAGTAACATCCCAGGGCTTTCTCTGAGTTCAGCTTTCACACTCCACCCCTTTTTTTTCCTGCCTGTTCCTCAAGCACAAGGTCCTGGGTTCAGTCCCCGGTACCAATAAATAATAAATAAACAAATAAATAAATAAATAAATAGCTTTTACTCCACTGCAAGACAAGGAAGAGAGAGAACTTTGTCTTGGAAATCTTGTCTCCACAGTAACATCCCAGGGCTTTCTCTGAGTTCAGCTTTCACACTCCACCCCTTTTTTTTCCTGCCTACTGGACCCCAGTGGTCAGATGTCTCCAGCTTACCCTGTGCAGAGTTCATCCTCTCCTCCCCAGTCCAGCTCCTCCTTAAGAACTCTCTGTTTCCATGATTTGTTTATTTATTTTTTATTTTTTTGGTACCAGAGATTGAACTCTGGTCCTTATGCTTGCACAGCAGGCAGCGAAACCATTGAGCTAAATCCCTGGCCCTGTCTCCATGATTTGTATCAGAACCCTCCTGGTTCAAAGCCTGGAGCTGGGCCCTGGGCTGGAGCTGACAGCTGTCTCTGAATGGGACTGCAGCCAACCAGCTGCCAGGCCCTGTCAATGACCCCAAACTTCTCCTCCATTTTCCTCTTTCCTGTAGCCCAACATAGTGAGAAACCACCATAAAGACAGGGGACAGACAAACTCCTGGGGCCTTAACCTGTTACTTATCAAAAGCATGATTTGAATTTTCTGTTAAACACAAGGGCTTAAAAATGTTTTTTGGAAAAATCTGGCCCTACAAATGTATGGGAGAAAATTAAAAGTAGAAAAAAGCTTGACTTTCATGTTGTAAAACTTTGGTCAAATCCTTCTCAGCTCTGTATATAGGGATATTAGTCATTCAAGGAATATCTTGTTTATTGGCCCTAATTGTACCTAGCTATCTTGTTGCTGTTCAAGACAGAGAACATCTACACCTAGAAGTCTCCATTGTCTTAAAGCTACGGTCACCTTGGATTCCAGCAACGCCACACATGAAGAAATTATCTCTCAAGTCATGAGGACAACTCCAATGAGAACAAAATTGCTCCTCCAGTCCCAAGGATTCAACTTGAGCTAGGAAATTAGGACTGGGAAAAGGATCAATCAGATTTAAGCCCACTACAACACCCCACAAAACTGGTTCCTGGGCTATACTGATGGGCCAGTCTGATCCCCTTCTAGCTGCTCAAGTTGGAGTCCTTTTCTTATTTTTTCTTACCCTCCTTTGTCAAGGGCCAGCCTAATCTTTGTCAGCTTTTCAAGCTAAAATCCCTTGTCATTTTCCTTACTTTCTGATTAAAGCTTTTTCCTATAAATTCATGTTTCAGGTTTGATTTCCATTATCACTGAAAGCAAGAATCCATTCGATCTGGTGACAGCCTCAATGTTTCTGCCTTGGCCCAGCGTCTTGCTGTATCTCTCTGAGACAACCACAGTGGGCTCTGATCTGATCTCATCTTCCCTCTGCCTGCCTCCCTCCTCCGTCTCCCTCTTCTTCTTCATTCTTTCCTCTTCCTCTGTCTCTCCTTCCCTTTCATTTCAAAAGTTTATTCAAGGTAAAAAGACTTTATTCAAAATTCCAAGCAAGTTAAAAAGAGCAAAGGGCTGCTTTACAGTGACTTCAATCCACAGGGAGGACATGATTACCATACCTTAAATGTCTACCTTGCATTCACTTATTAGTTCTTTCAGCCAAAGTTTACTGAGTGTTACTACACATATGGGCAATGGGGAAGGATACAGAGCTGAAATATATTAGATTTCCCAATTCTTGGCATTACCTAGGCTCTTTCAGTGGCTCCTCCACTGCCAGAATAGTGAAAAGTACTGAAATCTCCCTGCCAGAGTACAATCCACCTCTCCTTTTCCCCTTCCACAGCACCTCTAGACCCACCCTACCCTCCAGCCAAACTCACCGCCTGCCTTTCCCTACATGTGCCCTCTGAGCTATTGCCATGCCATTCCCTCTGCAGGAAAACATTCTTCACCGAGCTTCTCTGCCCACCGAAATCCTAGCCAAACTCCAAGGCCCATTTCAAATACCATCTCCTCCATGAAGCTTTTGGGGACTGTCCGAGCTGGGCGGGTCCTCTGTAGGGGCCCAGCAGTAGGGCTCTATAATAAATCTTTAGAGTCAGACGTGGGTTTTAGTCCCTGTTCAGCCAAATACCATTAACTAGGGGACTTTGGCCCAGTTATGTAATTACTCTGAGCCTTATTTTTCCCATTTGTAAGACAGGATAATGATATCTATCACCTAGAATTGCTGTGAGGTGGGAATATGTAAGCAAACCCACGTGCAGCACAGTGGTTGCTGCATAAGCATTACTGGTCTCCCTTTGTCCCCTCAGTTTGCAGGCTCCTTTGGCACTTACCTTATGGAGCTTTGCCATGGAGTTGTCTAAACTCAATTGTACTACTCTTCCAGGGAAACCATTATCTTGAGTTCAGACAGATCCTATATTAACTTTCTGTTTTTTATATTCACACAGCATGGTACATGTCTCTTTTAATGTTTTTTATTTTTAATATTTTAAAAAGTTTTATTGGAGTATAATTGACATACAGCAAAATACACATATCCAAAGAGTACAATTTGATAAGTTTCAATCAACCCTTGGTAAAACATCATTACAGGCAAGGGATAATTAACATGTCTGTTACCCCCCCCCCGCAAAGTTTCTGCATGCCCTTCTATAATCTGTGCCCCTCTCCCCACAACCCTCATGCCCAGGCAACCATTGATCTGCTTTCTATCACCATAGATTAGTGCATTTTCTAACATTTCATACAATTGGCATCATATAATATGTACTCTTTGCGTGTGTGTGTGTGTGTGTGTGTGTGTGTGTGTGTGTGGTGCTGGCGAATGAACCCAGGGTCTCACACACATAGGCTAGCTTTGTACCACTGAGTTATATCTCCAGTCCTCCATATGTACTCTTCATGGCCTCTTTCATGCAACGGAATTATTTTGCAATTTATTCATGTTGTCATGTGTACCAATAGTCCACTCCTTTTCTTGCTGAGTAATATTTGAATGGATATACTACAATTTGTTTATTTCCTGTTGATGGGACACTTGGATTGTTTCCAGCTTTGAGTTATTACAAATAAATAAGCTGTGAGCACTCATGTATGTCCCTTTGTATGGAAATACACTTTGACTTCTAGGGGTTAAATGTCTAGAAGTGGAAAGACTAACTAATTTTTTAAAGAAACCACCAAGCTTTTCCAAAGCTGTTGTATCACTTTACATTTTCGCCAGCAGCAGTGGATTCTACAGAAAATAAAAGTTCCCAGTATATAAAAAGACTATTCTCTACCTTTAAACTCTAAAAGGAAATGGTACTTGGCAGGAGGATTGTGAGTTTGAGGCCATTTTGGGCAACGTACTGAGACCCCATTTCAAAAACAAGACGAAGTTGGGCATGGTGGTGCACACCTGAAATCCCAGCACTTGGAAGGCTGAGACAGGAGGATCGCCATGAGTTCAAGGCCAGCCTGGACTACATAGCGAATTCAAGGCCAGCCTGAACTATAAAGCCGGAGCCTGTCTCAAAAAACAAACAAATAAACAAATAAACAAACACCAACAACAAGCCAAACAAAACTCTAAAAAGAAATTACCCCCTCTAAAACAAACAAAACACCCTATTAGTTCTTTACCTCATACACATAACAGCCTTATGCTCCATTACATATCCCTTGGAACATTGTGATGGACTAGCATTATTTTCCCATTTTACAAATGAGGAAACTGAGGAATGGATGTTAATTAAGTTTACAACTAGTAAGTGGTAGACTTGAGCCCAGACCTCTCTCATGCTGAAGCACTTTTTCCTGTACTATGCTGTCTCTTTCATCACATGCTGAAATTTGAGAGGCCCCAAATACAACTCTGGATAATTACTGTTAAAAAACAAATTCAATACAGAATACATGGCCAAATTATGGAAAGAAGTGTAACAAGCAAGACAACTGCTGACTTCTTGTCAATTATGGAAAGTTGAGAAGCCCTCGTCAGATCTGGGAATCCCTACTATAGTTCCGGCGGTACCAAAAAAACCCAACCCAGACACAGATTCCAAGGACAAAAGTATGGACATGGCTGCTGCAATACACTAGTCATTGAAAAGAAGTCAAGATTCTCAAATTTTTGTGTCTAACATGCTCGATCCTTCATCTCTACCTGCCAAAACTCTACCATCTTCACTGCAGCAAAGCCTTGTGGGAATAAATAATATGGTTTGGATACAGAACTGGGTTCAAATTCTGACTCCACTGTTTCCTAGCTGTGAATCAATAATAGTGGCAGGTCATTTCTCTACTCCTAACCCTAGTTCCTTTGTTTGTGAGATCAGTGTGAACTATCTCACAGCACTGTGATAGGGAGTACCCACCAAGCATCTCTACCACTCACCTGCTGAGTTGGACAAGAGTCTCAAGCCTTTTAAGCTTTCCTTTTCTTATTCTGAAAGTGGAAGGTAACACCATCTCCCTTGCAAAGTTGATTAAGGATTAGAGATAGCGTCCCATATATATACTTCTACTTTCTCTAGAAATCTATCCCCCATCCCTGGCTAAACCATAGATCTCGCTGTCATTTGGACTCAGAATGCCCGTGAATCCACCAACCTGTAAATACAGAGCATGGATTCCACCAAAATCTTGACGCCTCATCTCTTTTCCATGTCCACAATCCCACGATGAAAGTATTTCATATCCCTAACGAGCACTTGTTTGGCATTCTCCTTCACCTCACTCAGCCTCACTCTCTCCAGCTATAAAACAGACTCCATCTTTTCATCCAGGGTTGCTGGTAAGGAAGAGCGGCCATCTCTGTGTGTCCTCTGCTTCTGTCTACCACAGTGCTGACCACAATGAATTGTTACCTGTGTTATGTGAACTTGTCCCACTATATTTGAGTGAGCCTTATGAGGGTAAGAATTATGACCAGGGTCAAGTTCAGGGCCCAGTATTTGGAGAAAAATTAACATTTGTTGAATTAAGTAGTTTTTACTATTAGTCCATACAATGATTTGCGTACATATTTCCAATAATTCCTAAATTGTAACTCCTTGAAGGAAGACAGAACGTATAGTTGGATCTCTGTACCTTCAAGTTTTGCAACTCTGGATTCAAGCATTGATTCGAAGACTTTCAGATTTGTGCATCCTCAAGTCCCTTGTCTAACATGGCATGGATTTGCATAAAATTGACTGTACATTATCCTATATACTTTAACATTCTCTAAATTATTTATAGTACCTAAGTGAGTATAAAGGTTATGTAAATAGAATAAAGGTCCTGTTCATGTTCAGGACAGAAGCAATCCCCCCCAAGTATTTTCCAACTGTGAAAGTGCTAACAGAGAAAGAAATCCATGCGAAGTCCTGGAACCAGTGCCCCTCAGATACTCAGAAATGACTGTATACTGGACTCAGAGTAGCTACAGTCCCTCTTCCTCTATCTCCATGTGTTTTCATAGCACTTACTGCCATCTGATATTATCTTTTTATTTATTTGTTTGTTTGTGGCAATACACTCCCAACTAGACTATACTCTCTGCAAGGATCTTGAGATTTTATAATTTCCATATCTAAAGCTGGCGGATAGCAAACGCACGCACACACACACACACACACACACACACACACACCTATGTACAGAATGAATGAATCTTAGCTGTATTGCTTATTAGATTTGTGTCCTTGAGCAAGTTACTCGAGTAAGTTTCTGAGAGTGCCTGCAGCAAGAGCCTTCGCAAAGGCAAAAGACAGCCTTCTTTTCCCAGTCCCAGATATTCAAAGCATAACGAATCAAAGAGACCCTTACCTCCTATCTACATATTCCCCGACAAATTTGCTCCCCGTGTACTCCATGGCGACTGCTTCCAACAGTTTCCAGCCCTTGGATCCTAGAGTCTCAATGTATACCGCCTCACTATGACAACCAGAGAGGGAGGCGGGGCCAAGACAAAGCCCCACCCCTTGGAACGGCAACAACTTGACACTGCGCAGGTCTGTCGTTCCCGGTTGGGCAGAGCAATGCGCCTGCGTGTCGCCGGCGGCGCATGCGCAGGCGCCGCGTGTACGTCCTCGGCGGTCGAAAGGCGAGTTCAAGGAGACCTGGGGAACACGGCTGAGGGCTCCTCGCCGGGGTCTGGGCTGCCGCCGTCATGCCTGGGATAGTGGAGCTGCCCACTCTGGAAGAGCTGAAAGTGGATGAGGTGAGGCACGTCCGAAGGATAGGCTAAAGTGGCAAGAGGGCTGCAGCTTCCCAGGCCTGGGCCTATTACTGCTTCGCCTCTGCGGACCCTGGGCTCCGGACCCCCGACCCCGACCCCCGACCCCCGCCACCAGTCAACATACAGGGTTGACCCCGAACGTCCCCTGCACAGCTCGGGGAATCGCACCCTTACTGCACCCTATCGCCTCCCACTGTCGCTAGACCTCCCCACCCCCAGCGACTGCTTTTCCTTCCGTGAATAATAATGGTACTTTTAAGTTGAGCGTCAACCGTGGCCTCTTTCTGTCGTTCAAACCTCCCTGTGAAGTGAGTATACCGCCTCAGGTGCTCACACTCAAAAGAGCGACCGTCACCTTCCAGCAGTATCCTCCGTGCAGAACTCATTACCGCGGGACTGGGAGGGCGAGTGAGCTGACAGCTGCCGTCCGGTGCTTGGTAACAGGACACATTTAAAGCATTCACTTATTAAGAGAAAGTTGAATAATTACTATGCTCACGTACCCTGGGAAATAAGAGATGAAGTCCCTGCTGTCATAGAGTTAATACTCTAATAGGGAGAGAGATACATCAAGGGGCAGTTGCAGTACAGTGTAGTTAGTGCTGTAAGAAGTGAAGTAAAAACAGTATTACTAATTACAGCTGACGTGGTCAAGCCAATCCTGGAAGTCAGGGAGGATGTAATAATTACTTTGAACACATTAATTTATCAAATTCATCTCAGCAGCACCGTAGTCTTTCCGTGTTGTAGATCGGAAATAGGCCCTGAAGTAGAAGCGACTTGTCCAACATCACATACCTAGGTTGTGATGGAGTTGGAACATGAACCCAGGTCTGGATTTGAAACCTGTGCTTTTAAACTACTGTATTGCGGGCAAAACTCAGTAAAATGAGAAGGCTCCGCAGGACCTTCTGTGTTTAGGGAGCCACTTCCTGTTTGATGTGACCCGGTTGGTGGGAAGTAGCAGGTGCTGATCCTGGAGAGGTACACCAGTCTCAGGTGGGACTTGGTAGTAAAGTCACAGGCCACACCCATGTGTTTCTATTTGACCCTGTAAGTGAGTTGGTGGGAAGAGATGGAAGATTTGAAGGCAGAAGACTGACATGCAGGACAAAGTAATAAATATTAGAGAGGGAGGGCAAGACTAAAGAAATACATGCTCGGCATTATGTTGATGTACCGCATTACTTCACTTAGTCTTCTTAAATGTCTGTGAGGATGGCAGCTGTTATTTTCCTCAGATGAAGAAATTTTCAGTTGTGTTCAGGGGTTCATAAGAAAGTCACAGTTACTAAGAGGTGCTAGGAGGGGTGTTGGGATGGAGCCAGTCTTTTATTTCTTGCCCTCCCATGAAGCCAGGTTAAACCTGAGTTACTGTTTTTGTGGTTGTTGTTTTTGAGATAGGGTCTCGCTATGTATTTCAGGATGAAATAGCCTAAACTCTCTAAATAACAGCTAAACTCACTAAATAGCCCAGGCTGGCCTTGAACTCTGCTCTTGCCTCAGCCTCCCGAGAGGTGGGATTACAGGCATGCACCATCAAGCCCAGCTGAGTTACTGTATTTTTGGTTGGACTTTTAATTTGGTTCAACAAACATCTGAGGTTCTATTTCATACAAGATTTCTCTTATCTGGAATAAATTTGCCTTTAAAGTTTACGCAGTTGAGCTCAGAGAAAGATAATTATGTAAATAACTACAATATAAGACAAAGTACAATTAAATACTATGAAAGAGGGAAAGACGTGGTTTAGGGAAAGAGTGGTATTTATTGTGAAGTTCAATTTCTAGGCCTAACTACTCAGTCACCTTGATTAGTTGCTTTTAGCATTTTCTGACCCAGGTAGGAAATGTTTTGGGCTGTACAATTCTCTGAGGCTATTAAGGGAATAGAAACATCATTTCTCGGGCTAATGTGAAACATAGCTAAATGGCACTTGAAGACTGGCATTTTTATGGGCAGAGATGGAAGAACTCCAGGGGTAGGATATGAGCAAAGGTAAGGAGATGAGAGAATGCAGGGGACTAAAAATCAGTTCTGGGAACAGTGAGTTCAGTATTTTGAGAGAACAGCCAATAGTCCCTTTTTGAAATGTGGATGAGAAGGCTGGCAAGTTTGGATCCAGAAAACTTTGAATGCTTAATAAGAAGTTTGGGTTTTATTCTGCTATTAAGGCTGAATCCTTTGAAGGCTTGGTTGCTAATTTGTTGGTTTAATTCTCGGATTTTTTTTTTTTTTTTTGGTACCAGGGATCGAACTCAGGACCTTGCACTTGCTAGGCAGGTGGCAGCACCACTGAGCTAAAACCCCGGCCTGCTAATTTGTTTTAATAATAAAGTAAGGGCTGTTATTTAGGATGATCACTTCAGCAGCTTTATGAAGAATGGATTGAAGATAGAAAAAAAAAGCGAGATTACTAGTCTGAGTGGCTATTAAAATTGAAAAAGATGTTAGTGAACCTAATTTCACTGCTGACTGCTTACAGAGAACAAAGAACAGGTACAGTACCTGTATCTGGAATTGATCTGACGTAGCAGTGGATTAATAACAAAGGTAGGAAAGGTTGTGGATCAGTGTTGTATTTGCAACATAACAATAAAACTTGGGAAGCCAAAAAAAGCAGCAGGTTTGAGGAGCAGGTTAAACCCATTGTCATTGACTAAGAATTGTGACACAATCTCGTGGAAAAAGTATTTAGAAGCTTTGGACTACAAAATCCTTGGACACATTCACAATTTTGAATAAAAATAAAAATACTAGCTAATATTGATGATGTACTTTTCTATGTGTCAGGCACTGTTCTTAGTACTCTTACATGTCTTATTTGATCCTTACAATGAGTCTATAAGATAAGTAGTATCATGCTTTACTTTGCATAAATTAATGAAAATATGTCACCTGGCATAAATGAAGTACAGAGGTGCAGACCCAGTTTCAGGAAGCTTGGACTGGAAGATTGATACACTGTAGATTGGAACTTTCTCTGCTTCACTTTCCACCCATGCAGACTGTTGATTCCTGCTGTGCAGGGTGGCTGTGTGAGACCGAATGAGGAAGGATGTTGAAATTCCATGTTCCTGTGAAAAAGGGAACCGAATGCATTTGAGAGAGCATATTCATGGTGAGCAGCTGTGAAAGGACACTGCAGCTGTTGGAATTCATGTCTTAGTGTGGAAGCAGGAGAGGGGATGTGGTACCATTGCAAGTTCTTCCCTAACGGTGATGTCCTGGTTCCAGTTCTGAGGTCGCCACTGACCAGCTTGTCACCTCAAGCCCATCCCTCTTGTTCATCAGCTAGGAAATGGATTCCATGAACAGTTCTCATGGTATTTATATACCGAACAACACAGATGCACCTTCATTTTGATAAGATCTCCGCATTTGTAGAAAAGTAAATAATGCTGAAGGCTTTTTTGTTGTTGTTGTTTTGGTACCAGGGATCGAACTCAGGACCTTGTGCTTGGACAGCAGGCGGGGAAACCACTGAGCTAAATCCTTGGCCCGCTGGAAGGCTTTTTTTATGTATGATTGCCATTGGGCATTTGAGCAATTATAGCAGTCACTTAGGATATTGTAGAGCATTTGATAAATAAATATAGCTAACTTAATTTTCTAAGTGTGTTAAGCTTTAAAAGTTTGTTCAGTTTATTCTCCCATCTGTTTATAGGTAATAATAAGTAAACATGGTCCACTTCGTTAACCTGAATAAACTTTTATTTTAAAAAACTTTAATAGAGGGCGGGGGATTTAGCTCAGTGGCACCATGTCTGCCTCTCAAGCTTAAGGTCCTGAGATCAATCCCAGGTACCAAAAAAAAAAAACCCTTTAATACAAACATTTACAGATTTTTTTACATAAATTTATTAGAATTGTCATGGCGGTTTTGACTTACATCATTACTTTTGTTTGGATAATTATGATAGTTGTAATATTCATAGATGTAATTATAACCCTATTCTCATTCTCTTTTCCAGCTATTTATCTTATTAGTAATTTAACCCATGTAAAGTACATACAAATAAAACTGTAGACTTTCTCACGTTAAGTCCTTAATTTTGCAAATTAAATCCAGTAGTATATTAAAGTATAGCATATAGTGGCAAACAAGATTTTATTCTAGAAACATGAATCAGTTTTAGAAAATCTGTTCATGCTCTGTATTAGATTTATAAGTTTTATAAAAAGAAGCTTGAAAATTCTAGACTTGTAGAGAATAACAGCAACAGTAAAGCAAAACCAGTTAGCATTAGAAAAAAACACCCTTAAGGAGTGTCTAAACAGCTCTATCCCAGGTATCAACAGTAACTACCAAACTGCTGTAAAGTCTAAGGGGGGAAAGTTGCCTACTCCTGTTGCCATGGGGTGTTTCATTTTGGTGTTTGAGACAGGGTCTCACTATGTAATTCAGGCTGACCTTGAACTCACTCTGAGGCCCAGGCTGGCCCCACATTCATGGTGATCCTCCTTCCTCAGGCTCCTCTGAGTGCAGAGATTACAGGTGTGGGCCACCATGCCCGGTTCTGCTGTTCCTGTTCATCTTTATTGTCCAAGTGAGTTTAGTCAGAGAAGTAAGGAAAACAGAGTAAGAAGGAAAAAAGATACAAATATTGGAAAGGAAAAGAAACAGTTTTTAGTTGTAAATGGTAATTGTTTTCTAATAATCCTCTTAAGTTTTATGTCAGAATTAACAAGAGTTCATTCAGTAAGATGGCTAGAGAGAATGTACAACGTACA